GCAACAATGTTACTATAGCGAAGTGCAACCACAATCAAAGAACTTTTTCAAAGTAAGTTTGGTGCTGATGGGGGTCACCTACGCGCTTTTATATCTTTGGCGCAGACAGCACATTATGTAGGCCTCTTTGGGACGGAAATAAAGCTTTGCTTTTTTGTACTTCCTTACGTTTTTTCCTTGTTTTAAATTGCCAACAGTTTCGTTATGTGAGCGCGCCTGGATGTCCAAGGGTGGGCCTACCTGCCACCCTCTCTATCGTCATGGATTCAATAACAATTAAGCATAAGCTGAGAGACCCATAGTCTCCCTAGCACTGTGGTTTTTTCTGCGTGGTGAGAGATGACGGGACTAACTTGAGGACATCTAAAATATTCGAGTGCGGGAAGGAGCACGTGCTATCGCTTCTTTTTCTTCTCTTTCTTTTACGTTTCTGACCAGCTGCACATCAGTGAGGTGTTTTTGACCGAATGTTTTATGTAGTGAATAAGTCCGCGCTCAGTGGAAGCAGCGAATATCTACCATCAACCGGCAAGGTAATCTATACTGTGGTAACGTCATATGATCAGCCGCAGCTCGTTTACATATAAGCATGTCCAGGTACAAACATGAATAAAAGGAAGAAAATAGTCTAGTTAAAAGTTATCTTGAGTGATTTAGATATATTTCACAATATTAATCGAAGACTACGCAAGCCTTAGGAAGTCTCGAAAAATGGAACACATTGTCGAGATTCCCTGCTCTTAATGCTCGGTTCTACAATGCGTTGTGCGGCGTAGTGGCGGTGAAGCCCGCGCAAATATATCTGGCAGCTGATCACAAGTCCACAATGTCATTATCACTTTCTTGCATTTGCCTTCAGTCTCGTGCTTAAAGCGAAAAGGAGAAAAATTAAGCAAAAACTCTGCGTGCCAATACTCGAAGTGAGTGTTCTATATCAGCTCACACTATATATTACGCTGCCATTTTACTCAATGCGGTGAAACAACAGCGCTACCTTGAAGCACGATGTCTGCAACGGGGGCCGACTGCATTCCTGGTACACAAGCACAAAAGCACAAATCAATAGGCGTCTTTTATCACGTGACACCTTCAAACCTACACTGTGGGAAAATTCCTTGTATGTTGTTTAGTGAAGCGGTCGACGAAAAGCGCTGTGCGGCGCAGAATATTGCTAGGTGCTTGCATTTTTCTTTCTGATGGCTACTGACGCCTGTAGCATACCTTGCTCGTGTATGAGCAGGCAAATATAGCACGGCAGTGATTAACTAGGACTATTATTTGCGTCTCTCTCGCTTCACGCGTAGACACTGGCGTCTTTGTAGTTCTTATTTGATTTTTGTCTTTTTTCACCTCGTTTGAGCTGAACGACATTCGTGTCGAGTCATTCGCACCCCGACTCTCGAACCAACAATTCCCTTTTCGTTAGTACATACTGCCACTGCACTCACAAGGTGCGCTGCGCGCATTCAGGCCGTTCGTATTATTCGAGCACGAACACTTTCTTCAAACTCCAAGCCTATACACGTCTCGGGGAACAGTATTACCACCGTGTTGTGCCGTGGTGCATGACAAGTTTGAAAAAACTACGGCACGTAAACGTACTCCAGTAAAGTGTTCTAAGGTGGCACGTCAAAAGCAATACATGTAACAGAAGTTCCGTATTACCTTACTTTAGCGCCTATTCCATGCAGAAAGTGTTCCGCAGGTCATTGCTTCGGTATACGAAGCGCACAAGTTCAAACGAGATATATATCTGACCTGTATTGGTTGCGCGTTATTCACTTTTATTGTCCTCTTTCCGCCCATTACGTGGATGCATTCACCGCCTATCGGGGAGAACGCGATGTGGACGATTGGTTATTTACCGGGGTAACTATTGCACGGTTTGTCCCACGCCTTTTTATTCGATTCATCAGTCGCTCGCAGAGCGCGCAGAACTGACTGGATAAAAAGAGAGCATGCATCTTGTCCACGACGAAATGTCGCAGTTATGGAAAAGGACGCCCTCCGGGCTTGTTCGGTGGGAGAATAAACGAAAGATTAGTATAATCGCTGACACCACTTTCTGGAATTTTTTGCGTGATCTACTGTCATTTTTGCGTGTCTATCGATAGTAAAAGTGTGCACTAAATCAGTTTCACACTGTCTTTCCATGTTTATCAACTTTCCGCGGAGTCAAAACATTCGTAGAACTCGTAACAGATCAGCGACCTTATCGCACGACCCACCTGCAAACAGCTAAAGCAAGCACGGTTTCTCGATAGCCTACGTGCAGTATGCGACGTTCTCAGTACTTCAGTTACTAGTTTACAAACTTACGAACTTTCAACCGTATCTGTATCGCAGATAGATACATGTAACTTTATGTGTACAACGTTTTTTTTTTCCTTTAAAAGGAAAACAAATATTTGAAAGGTCATGTCAGACTCTGACTAACATTTTGCAAGAGATCTTAAAGCTGACATTGTTTTACAAGTGCCATATGGTGGTGTGTTCCAACAGAATTTCATTACACGTAGACACAGTGTTTCTTTCAATGATATTTGATGCGTTCAGTAGTATCAAGTGCGTGCAGTTTTACAGAAAGTTCAAGCGAAATTTTAGTTTGCCATGCACCACGAACTTCGCTATTTCTCGGAAAGGATCCAAGCACGCGTGTGAAAGTTGAGGTAACGTAGATGATCGTGCTTGGTTTATACGCAAGACAAATTTGTACACACCGTACGAGCGTCGAAGAACGTAGCCTCGTGAAGCGATGAGGACAATATACCGATTTAGTGGCGCGTCCGCCGCCGCCGTACAGACGCAGCCTCCCATTGCGAATGGCTGGCAGGCTGCGTCCATAGGACTGCTGCTGACACGCAACTAAATCTGTCTAATTTTGAAGTGACATCATGGAGAATATTCTTTTTCGCAATCATCCAAGCACAATTTTGAAAATGCCACGTAGAGAGAAATAAAATCCTGCATTCATTCGCTATGGCCAAGAAGTGCAACAAGATTTCTTTCCAGAGAAACAGTATAATCTGTCTAGCCCTTTTTGTTCTCATGTTGACAAAACCAAGGTGGCCACTATTCCGTCCAATGAAGCATCCTCTAGAGTTATTCTTATCTCTCTTGCACGCCGGCAAACGTTACGACAAACGAGGCACAGAAGGGAACTCGCACAAATGAACACTTTTAGTAAAAACAGATACGTCATGACTGTAGTGTTTTCAGCACGCAGCACACTTGCATGCATCCCATGCCTCGGTAGTGAAGGTATGTAACAAAGAAGTTTTTGTTTTGCTTTCTCAATGAGATTGAACAAGAACTGACATATATTCACATGACACACGCACATTTGCCTCCACAGAACTGAAGAGCAACTAGGCACGAAGAGAGATAGAGAACACACGAAAGACTTATACGCTACAAGATACACCCCACACCAAGGGTTCACGGCCTCTATGTAGTTTGCAGGCCACAACAGGCATCATCCACGCTACGCGTCGTACATCATTGTGCTTTGCAGAAACATGATTGAACCCGCATTAGTGCGATGTGAGCATAATTGAAAGCTGGTGCGGACACGTGGTCCACTCCCCTTCGAAACAAATGGAGCTAAAACAACGGTGAAACACGGCTCGCTTACATTCTCTGCATCGTCATCATCTACAATGAGCTGCATTACCACACAAGAATGTGCTGCGTTCTATGAACACTGAGAAAAGCAGGATAGCCTCGAACTATGCACACTATGTACAAGCGGAGTAGTGACGACGGCGTGGATTAGTATCGACGGGCTGTGAGTGCGTCGTGGAGAGCGGTAGATGTGAAGGTGCCAGGCCTATCTTAGCGATGTAGAGCCTTTTGTCTACTGAACAAGCTGCAAGTTGCCTTATTCGCATATTTTCTTTCCTGTCACTTCCCCGATGTTACAAAGTCTTTACAAAAAAAAGACTGAAAGGACGCGAGTAGATCATTTCGTTTGTACACGTTCCCTGAACTGATGCACATATGACTGCTGAAGCCGCCAGGCGTATAACGATTCATGTAATATCCTCAGCGGCAAGTGACAGTATATGGGGCTGAGGATCTCGAAAGCCCGAATGGCGCCTTTGAGCTTGATACCATCCATATTCATTAAAGTGAAAATAAATGCGTGAACGAACAAATGAGTTAACTATAGCTTGAATGAATCAATCTCTATTGAGTTCAATGCTATATTGAGGCTTTTGTGAAAAATCGCGATCACAGGTAGGCGATATAGACAGCTTGCACCATTCCAGCGTGCGCCTTTGTGACATTGGGGCATTCAGGTCGTTTGCTTTAAAATTGGGGACTTTTTGACCATGATTCTTTGCAGCCATCTTGAAATCTTTAAAAGGCTGGAGTCTCGGATACCTTCGCTTCCACTTGCACGCGGAATAAAACTTTTTGATAAATGCGACTCCACTACACAAAACGCATGTCGATCTTAATCACTACGCTAGCACGACAAATAAGTGTTCGCCTAAGCTCGCGACGCACGGTGAGCATTGGTGCTACAGGTGAAGTATTCCGGAATGTCGTCCTTGAGCGCTGCGTGACAGTGCGCGAGTGTCAGAAGCTACACCTTTTGGCGACGCTGCCTCGACATGAGATCGTGCTGCGCTCAACAAGAGCTGGCGTGCAGCGCCGAAACCTTTGCGGTCAACCAGACTTGTCGGGGGAGACGCAGCACAGTACCTATGCATACATGAACTCATCTGAAAGAGCAACTCAGTTAGACGTCGCTTGCCACAATGATGACCCAACTAATGTCGAGTTACGTATTACACACGCTGTCATCTCGCAGGCAGATAAAACCCAGCTGAGACAACCTAAACGATGAAGAATACTCATTTGGCTGCATGCCGTGGCAATGGGTTTCGTCTAGTTCAACCTTTACTATTTTTTCGTACTGGGATCTGTTATTTGAACCTAGGAAATAGGGGAGGATGACAGTAATGTCAATACGGTCATACCGCAAGAACTCGTTTCTAGTGTCCGTAGAAGTTGTCGTCTGACATGGAAGCACCAGAAAATAATTAGAATAAATAGCAGCAGTTTTCAGGCAAGATTGTTCCCTCCGCGCGGATAATCTCAGGTGCAATGCTCACCGAATAGGCCTGAAGGCCCTGGTGAAACGCAGATATGAACTTAACAACATGCGCAGAAAATAAAAAAAGAACAATAATTCACCCAGGCAAACTTTTAGTTTTACGGGAGTCTTAACCTTTACTTTTTTTTTCGGTAGCGTCACTTGGTGAAGGAGAAGAAGATCCCTTGACCATCGGTAAGTGCTGTTCAAACGTTCAACAAATGCACTGCTGCACTCTTGTGAACATTCCTTCAGCCCAGGCGCTCTGCCGTAATGCTCTTTTTTTATGATTTGACGCGAGCGTGGGAGAGACGTGGCAGTTTATCGCAGTCACTTTATATATACGCCCAACTCAGATTACCTGCGTACATAGCTCCAGCTGAGCGACTAATCAGCCTTGAAGATTTTGCGGCTATGCCCGTTCTTTCCTTCGCGCATTGCAACGACTCACTGCAAGGTGCTTTCTATTGGGCTGCTCACAACGCTTCGAAGCAGTGCATCAGCATGCACAACTTAGCATCGGAGTGCAGCGTTCTTTGTAAGTTACGCGATACTTTCTTGGCTAGCTTGTTGTTTGCATTGCTCCCATTTGTCTCTTATTTGCTTCGAGCTGTCACAAGTGAATGACAGCACCAATACAAGAAATAAACCCGAACAAACCACCGAGAGACACCCAAAAGTGAAACAGCGGCGCTCAAGGTGCCAAGCCACGTTATGTGTATACAGTCTTCCGCAGCTATACATGAGCGCCTTGCCCGTTCGCTGGCAGAAGGGTCGACGCCCTGGAGCTTCGTGGCGTTTTACCTCCCTGAAATGCACAACCTCCAGCATCACGACAAATTTACACCCGGCAACAGAAACACACTACAGACCACCGGCCTCATATGACCACGCGTGGACCAGCCAAGTCGAAAGGGCCTCCGCGAAGCCACCTGACACATATTCGGCGTAGTATTTCGCGTCCAGAGGCAGGTCACACAGTCCGTGTGGCGTTGCACGCCTTCGAGACCGCGGAGTAGTCCTCCTGTAGATGCCGCCGCATGCTGCCCGGGCCAAGTCACACCGTGGGGCAGGCAGCCGACCTGTCGATCACCACACCACGCCATGACGCACCAGGCCACGATGAACATGCCATGGCAACGTCGTGCCACGTGTTGCTTTGGCACGCCATGAAGCGGTGGTCGCTGTTCGCGGCGATGCGCGCGCCCTCCCGCAACGGGGGACGTCGTGGTGCGAGGCCGTCGTGCTCTACTTGAAAAGGCGCAGCAGAAGCAACGGCGGTGCCACCATAAGCAACGAGGACACGGCCGTAGGCCGGCGGGCGCCGTTGCAGCCGTCCTTGTCGCAGCTGCAGTACTTCATGAGCACGCTGAAGGTGCCGGCTCGGCGCATGCACTCCGTGCCTTCCTTGTCGCTTTTGAGCCATCCGCAGTCACGCACAGTGCGAAAGTCGCTGTACACTGCGAGACAAGAAGCAAGGCGTCACCACATGGGAAGCGCTCAAAACGTGGAAGAAAGTTGAAATGAGCGAAACAGAAATGAATAAAAAAATTGAGTATAGTACTTAGCACAAATATATTAAAGGCTTTCAAGGATAGAAAGCAACAGAATACAACCGGAACTGATCCTTGCGGTTGTTAGTACGTTCTACCATTTCTGCCGCTATTTCACGAGCGAATAAGGAAAATTATATTTCTCCAAAAACCCGTTAGGCTAACCTTGAGGGCAAGGTCTTTGTCCGTTTCATATTCTTTAGTAATTCAACCCCGTTCATCTAGGTAGTGCATCGTTTCACTTTGCAAGATCATACCTACCAGCCTCGGCGGAAACACTTCTAAGTGAGTTAATAAACTTTCGGGGCATAAAAGACATAATCATAAATGTTACGCAGAGGACAGGAAAGTAAACCGCAAGGTAGACAGCCGATTTGCTACAATGCACTGGGAAATTGGTAAGTAGAAACACAAAAGGAAAGTATGACAATAATGAGAAGGATTACCGATATATAGAAGCACGCACACATGCACGAAGGTAGAATAGTCTGGCTTGTAAATTGAGGCGGATTGTTCATAGAAACCTAAGACGCGCCTTAGTCGCGTTCTGATGGGAACTTCGAACGGCGACAGAACAAAAGTGTTTTTGAAGCGGACCAGTCCCAGTTTTCTGCTTTAACAGGATGACACGCCGCAGAAATAGCATGTCAGAAAGTTGATTGTCTGCGTAGCATTTATAAGCATCTCTCGTCACGTGTACACGCAGAAAAAGTAGCATAAACTCCCAATGGCACTTCCACGAAGTACAGTCGTACTGTTCCCCACCTTTCTGCACAATCTTTCGGCACACTTGCGCCCGGGTACCCGGAGGAAGGTGTTCCTTGACGCGCATGTCACAGTTCACGAGATCCGAGGTGATGTTGTTGAACGGGTCGGCGCAGTTGGGGTCGTAGGCCGAGTTGCAGCGCCAGCAATAGATGGCCCAGCCTGGACGTACAGGGTAAGAGAGAACTCGATTGAGTGTCAGGAAACGATACCTGTTATATCGCTTCTCTGCAGCAGGCAAATGCCAAATGACCTGTGCAGCCCCTTTAATTTAGTGAAGATATTCCAGTAACTATTGCATTTTTAAGCCATTAAAAGTGAGTTAGGAAACACCAGAAAAAGTAACGAGGCTCACAATAAGGATGTCATATGACAAGATTGTATTCAATAGCCCATTTGGCGTCAAGATCACGACCACAAAAACAAAGCAAACACGTGGACGTTTGCTTGGCGACTCAAATATTACCTGTTGAATTCTGCATGTCGGTGACATTTCCGAAAAACGCACTTGAAACTAGCGGCAGGGCTAGTGTGATATGACGCATGACTTCTTGATGAATTAAAACAAAACTTCGTTTCTTTTGTGAACTCACAGATGTGTGTGAAACCGCTTGTAGACCTTTCGAAAGGCAATGAACACATGTTGAATCTCCTCTCCCGCCATTCTCTTAGCCAATGAGTAGAGCTATGCGCACAGAGGTGTGCAATGGAAATGAAAATTCATCATAATGGTCCCAGAGTCGGTGAAATTTTCTTGTACAGTTTATCACAGTATACAATCTGTTACTGAGCAACATTAGAAGAATCACTGGTGCTTAGAAGCTTCAGTGGCGTATCCAAGGAAGGAGGGAGGCTTCAACCCCCCCACTCAAATTTTTCGTCACACACCCACCGCCCTACAACTTACTCAACTTATTTTTTTTGTCGCTTCGCGCTGACATGAGTTAGAAACCAAGCGCTGCTACCATCACAATATCATTGCTGGGCGCTTTTAGAATGAATAATGTCTGCATACGAAAAAACGTGTCACGGTGTTTCTGAAGCCTTAGCATTCTGTGAGATTTTGGCCAGGAATCTCGGCCGCGAGTGTTATAAGTTGGCTTGGTGATGCGAATAATGCTCAAGCGGTAGTCATACTTGTACCTGCCGAAACATATCGTGCCGGAGTTGATCCTTAGGATAATTTTCAATGGGCAGAAGTTCGTTTTAATGGAAATAGCCGGACACAGTTGCAAGGTGTCATAGGCCACGTTCAAGCATTTTACAGTGTGACTCTTCGTACGTCTGCTAAGATGCACTCAAGCCGGAGAATAACATTTCTATTGAACCTTCGCATGTTCTGCTAACATCTAAACACACACGCGCACGCGCATGACAGAATATTTGGTTTATACATCTAACTCGGCTTGTATGCGAGTGTACAATATATTTATACACATCTTTATTATGCCCTAGCGTCTAAGGCACTCCGAAGTGTTGTCTAGTGACGAAGGTGCAACACAGGCAAACGTGCAGGATAAACACAGCCTTAGAAAAGCCTACTGAAATACTCATCATGTACCTTAGGCACATGAATAAAAAGATGGTGGTCATAACCCTAAAGCAGCATAATGAGAAATGCAGTGTGGGCCGCTGTATACGTAGCAAGCACGAGCTTTATTGTTCAGCACTGTAGCAAACAGCGCTAGAATGAGGAGCATAAAGCTGAAAAAATATATGACAAATTATATATATATTGGTTTGTTTCATCTCTTCGTTTTTTTTTATATGGACATGACTAGAAGGGCACACTGAACCATTTCTACAACTAGAGACATGACTCACGCCAAAAATGCACAGAATGGAGAAACATGGGTGGGCGTGTTATCGTGTAAAATTACGAGCAATGTAAATTGTAACTGTAATTTTTTAAAAGAAATGAAAGAAACTCTGTGCAAGCAATCTCTCACGCCGTAAAACAGATATAGCGGAATATTGTTGATTATCATTTTCAATTGCAACAAAGCTTATCCTGCGCGTTACATGTCACATTATATGCCCCATATGTTACCCAAAATTTGCGAAAATTTCCACAGGCAAATTTGGGTTGTTGCATTGTCGTTCACACCTTTCGTATCCGCTAACCACTTCTGCAAGTGAAAGGTGCCACTGAAAAGCAAGGAGTAGGCGACGGGAGAGAAAGGAACCACTCTTTCATGCTGCCAAATTGAGTTTCAGCAATATGTCTCATACAGTTGAACTTGTTTCCTTACAGCTGGACGGAAAGTAGCGCATATGATTTTACCAAAGCCATCTTTTTTACTACCCGCCAGGGTGGTCCAGTGGTTATGGTGCTCTATTGCTGACCCGCTGGTAGTGGGATCGAATCCTCTGTCGCACTTTTGACGTAGGCAAAAATACTTGAGGCCCATGCGCTTTGATTTAGGTGCATAGTAATGAACCAAGGTGGTAAAATTTCAGGAGCACCCCACTACGGTGTCTCTCGCAGTCATATTGTGATCTTAGAATTTTAAACCCCATCAATCGATCATTAACGACTATGTTTTTACTTTTGTTCAGAACATCTTAATCGAAGGATCACTTCAGTTAACTTTCATCTACGATTGAGCTTGCGCTTATGGTTTATATAACTGAGAGTTTCGGCTGAAGCCATCTACGTTCCCAATAAATAACAGAGAAAATGTCTTCCGGGTGGACATTTATTTCATAGTGGATGTTCAGAAGCGATACCATACAATCAGTCATTTGTTGCTGTAGCTCCCAGGTACAATTTAAGGCGTCCCAGCGATGAAAACAAAAGCGTCCTGCAGAAGAGAAGAAATAATCTTCAAGGTGTGTCGATGCCTTTTAAAGCACTCAATGAAGTGGTCTATTAAATAGTCCAGAAAAGGCTAAAATATTGAAAGCCTAAAGTGCTCTTCCACGCCCGCCACTGGCACGTTACTTCGATGAACCTGCCTGCCTGTGACAAGTGGCATTCTCATTTTCGCCAGTTATCAAGGGCGCACTGGGATCAGCGTCGCTTTTCGGGAAATAACGTTCAAGCGTTATACCGTACGGTGTTTCAGCGTGACCATCGAGTTTCATGAAAGTGCGCCGATCGACCCAGGACACGAGCTACCAAGCAATTCGTGTAGGCAGCGCATTTCAAGGGGGCGGTTTCGCATCGCTGGGAAGCAGGGAGCTCAGCAATGTTCGGGCAGTTACCCTGAATGCGAGAAACGAGAACTTTAGCGACGATACATGCCGGCTGGTAAAGTTCCGCTTAAACACTAGTGCTAGTTTCTCACCTGGCGTGAAGATTCACAGCTATACATTTCCTCCGCTTCCCTTCAGGTGCCGGTAAGGTCGCCCTCGCCCAGTATCTTACTCTGCGCGCGAGACGTCTCACGTTTGTGATTGCGCCCATACAGAAGGCTGGTAGTTTCTGTGGCGTTATAATAAAATACCACAAACGTGAATGAACGTGAAGGAGGTGATGACAGTAAAGAAATTTCATTGACTCGCATCGGAATGCCCGAAATAGACAACCAACAGGCATGGACGGTGCACACTAGAGCGTAAGTAAACTCGGGCTGCATGCGCTGGCAGTTCTCGCCGGAGTTCACGCGTTCTGAGAAATGGATTATGATGTACTCGCTCTGGCCAACTCCGGAGTTTATTCCTTCATCACTGGTGAACCGATCACTGAAGATTTTGTGTGGTTCTAGGCTGCTCCTGTTCACCTTGGTGTAAGTGCTGGAAACCTAAATACACGTATGCTGCACGCGGAAATAATATGTACAGTTCTGAATCTGTTCAGGTAAAAGAAAAAGTCGGTGGCACGCTTGCAAACAACGGAAGACACCTTGCTGCAACGCTATCGTTTGAGGGAGCCGAGTGAAGAAAGCTACGAAAAAAAACCAGAACATACCGCGTTTTTCGCGTATTTAGGCGTTTGAGCGCATATACGCAGTGACCAAGCTAAGTTTACGTGAGTAGTAATAGTCCGATCACACGTGCACTTTTGATTAAGACGTCTAGAGAGATGGGACTAGTGGTCCACACATATCACTTTTATCGTTGCCAAGACATCAAAATCATCAGGTTTTCTGCGCTGTATCCTATACAGTCTTCCCTCTGAGGTATGTATACTGGCTTATTTTGCTCTAATCCATCCTCAACATAAGCTCGCATCCTTCATTTGGTCACCATATCAACAATACCTCATAGATAAGTTAGAATGTACGCGGAACAGAGCTAGTCGATTCATAGGTCGTAATCACAGCCACCCGTCAAGCGTAACACAGATTAAACATAGTCTTGCGCTCGAGCCACTGAAAATTCGCCGCGACTTTTCACCTTTATTATTCCTTAAACTCAACCACACCAGCATGGTGCCATCTGTTCCCCTTAATCTCGCACATCGAACTTCGAACAGACTACATAAAAGCTTCAGCTAATCACGCATGTACGGCAAATAATAACGCTTTTTATCAGTCGGCTCTTCCACGAAGTATTCGTAAGTGGAATGACGTGTCAAAGGATCTTGCGTCAGAGCAAGACCACACAAAGTTTAGTCTTACTCTAAAAAGTACTTATGCACCGAAAACTGCTACATCGCATCTTAATAATCATCTGTGCCTATGGGACTGTTGCTGATGTTTTTTTTATCCTCCTTTCTCCTGATTGTTTTGCATTCTGTAAATTTATTTACAGCGAACTCTTTTGTCAGTGTTCTTTTTTTTGGACGATTTCTAGTTTGTAGTTACTGTCAAAAAATTTTTTGTATTTCCCCTTCACCCCTTCACATATTCTAAGTTACTTTCCTAGTATCTATAAGTCGTACATCTTCATAAAATGAAATCCATTCTCTATAATAATGATTATTTGCATATATATATATATATATATATATATATATATATATATATATATATATATATATATATATATATATATATATTTATATATATAAACCTATTATCTGCACTGCCCCGCGGCGGTGGTCTAGTGGCTACGGTACCCGGCTGCTGACCCGTAGGTCGCACGATCAAATACCGGCTGCGGCGGCTGCATTTCCGATGGAGGCGGAAATGTTGTAGGTCCGTGTGCTCAGATTTGGGTGCACGTTAAAGAACCCCAGGTGGTCTAAATTTCCGGAGCCCTCCACTACGGTGTCTCTCATAATCATATGGTGGTTTTGGGACGTTAAACCCCACATATCAATGAAATCTATTATCTGCACCACCACCCTTACACAATGCCCCTTGACGACTCTGTAGGGTACTGTAAATAAATGAGAATAAATAATGAATATTTCTCATCAATTATTACCTTGCCCTCGCAGATTGCACGATAAAACCTATACGATTGGAGTACTTCATTGCTTTCAATAGTCACAGTTCAATTGAAAGTCTGCGCTAAATATAACGTGTGGAAAACGGCGTTGGCAGCGTGCAGCATATCTTACAAAAAATTTCCTTATCGCGTATCGCAAGCA